GCGCTCACCTACACATCAATTCATTTTGCGAAATATAAACGTATTCATGCGCTTTTGCTAGAAATCAAAGTATAACATTACAAAAAACTATATAATATTTAAAAACATAAATTTTTTACTAATCCTAATGTATCTAAGAGGCAACCCATTCGCATAGTTTAAAATATTTAACCTTGAGCTTCATAATCTTAGGATTGAAACCTTTATAAAATTTATTCAGAAAGAATTCACCAAATTTGAACCGGCAAAATATCGTGGTACCAGTTGTACAACGAGATCCAAAGTTATATTTTTGGTGCTCCCGAAGTATGTGTACCAAGATGGCGCCCAACCTGAACATTTATGTGTATCAGGTTAGGGTTCCGGTTGTGCGTCATCTTGGTACACATATTTCCGGTGAGCCATATTTTTTAAAATCCTTCAAAACGGGAATGACTTTTCTACGACTACGCGCCCTTTCAACAAACACTTCTATTTAAAAATCGAAACCTAACAAGAGAGGCCAAATGTGTACATATTAGGTTTATTGATCCATCAGTTTACTTCCATTTATTTAAATAGCATCCTAATAAGAAAAGCAGTCTCACTGAGTAACACCAGGTTGGCGCCAAAGATACAAATGCACTTTTCATTCTTTTCATTCAGTGAATAGACCAAATAGTGATAAAAAAACATGGTAATTTTCCTACAAATATAACGAAAATATTACACAAGAACTCGGCGCCTTCATCTAAAGACTTCTGCAACGCGGTTTGACATCGTTGGACTTGGAAGTGAGCGAAAATGATCTACGTAAATCAGGTGAAGCAGCTTGAAATCTCAATACAGCAATATTTTTACGGAACTTATAAATCTGAATTTTAGGTTTTATTGAAATCTCGTACGACATCTTGCGATCACTAATAAATTATATATATTGTCAACGCCATCGACCGAATAGCGGGCAATCATTTATCGGCAAACTTCCGGCCTTTTTGAAAAAAGAATTGAATATGCAACCCTTAAAAAAGTTGAGAATCGATGTACAAATAACAGCGTTATCAACAATAATTAAAATTGGGGTTATACGTCGCTTTTTTGTCAAGATATTGCCGTTTGAATTTTCTGTCCGAAATTAGGCAATTTCACGGTGCAGCCTGCAAGCATAAGTAACTTATACTATACATATTATACTAGAGTTGCACAAACCGTGATCGTAGAAATGATACTCTCAACCAAATCCTGATTAGCAGTACGGCATCCATATACCGTCCAGTCACTAACTCGAGATTTTTACCGCACCCAGCCCAACCGAGTTTCTTTATTCGTCACCTGGTATTCCGGCGTATTATCTATTATGTATGTATTCATCCGCCCCCCCCCCCCCCTCCCACCAACAACCCCCACTCCGACCCCGTACAGACGCCATATTTGTCGCTTCGTTAGGATCTCGCGGACTCTTGTCACAGATAACGTTAATTGTATATTTATTTTCCAAATAATAAAAAGAAATCAATTCCTGTGCCCTATTTTCTTGAGATTACAAATAAATGATTAACTAACTGACTGATCGACCCAGACAAGAGATTAAGCAAATATGATGACGTTGGAGATTCCACAGTGCGAATTAGCTGATATGTTGACTAAATACTCACGCTGAAAATAGCGCTCAGCTACACATCAATTCATTTTGCGAAATATAAACGTATTCATGCGCTTTTGCTAGAAATCAAAGTATAACATTACAAAAAACTATATAATATTTAAAAACATACATTTTTTACTAATCCTAATGTATCTAAGAGGCAACCCATTCGCATAGTTTAAAATATTTAACCTTGAGCTTCATAATCTTAGGATTGAAACCTTTATAAAATTTATTCTGGAAGAATTCACCGAATTTGAACCGGCAAAATATCGTGATACCAGTTGTACAACGAGATCCAAAGTTATATTTTTGGTGCTTCCGAAGTATGTGTACCAAGATGGCGCACAACCTGAACATTTATGTGTATCAGGTTAGGGTTCAGGTTGTGCGTCATCTTGGTACACATATTTACGGTGCGCCATATTTTTTTAAATCCTTTAAAACGGAAATGACTTTTCTACGACTCCGCGCCCTTTCAACAAACACTTCTATTTAAAAATCGAAACCTAACAAGAGAGGCCAAATGTGTACATATTAGGTTTATTGATCCATCAGTTTACTTCCATTTATTTAATTAAAGTGCGCTCCGGAAGTATGTGTACCAAGATGACGCACAACCTGAAACCTAATCTGGTACACATATTATGTTCAGGTTGTGTGCCATCCTGGTACACATATTTCGGTAACTCCAGTTAAAGTTCTTCAAAGATACTTTTCAGTTGAATTACATAACACATGAATGAACATCAGCTTTTCCGAAATAGCCACCTACATTATTTAATTATACAATTATATTTCAAGTATAAAGTATAATTAGACTGCAGTTTGGTTGAAAAAAAGGCGATATCAAATCATTCATGTGTTGTTGAAATATGAGTTTCAAATCCATAATAGACTTCAGGGATTTGTTCAACATCTGCTAATGATTGTGAGATCCTTTGACCTACTTCCGGGTCCACGTAATTCATTTCTAGCAACGGAAGACAAATTCCGTAAAGCAACGTCCGCAACCAAGCGGTTAGGCGAAAAAAATCATGTTAGGGGAGCTGTGGAGCCACTGGTCAACCCTAAAGGGGAGTCTTTTTTAAACGACAAAAAATGGCTCACAACGCCCGCGATTTTAACACAACTAATATTGTTATAAATGCTGATTGGTTTTGTGTTATGCCAGTTAAACATCAATTTTTCTCTGCTGAATTGCACCTTCCATCATAAATACGCGAAAGTTTTCTATGTACCGTAATCATCAGTAACGAGACGGAGTTCCTAATTTTCCAACTGGCAGTGAAAGAAGGTTAAAAACATAAATGGGTGGTCTGAATTTGTTAATTAGATTCTTTTTTATATTTCATGTGGGCTGTGATATCCCATTCCTCTGCTCCTAAATTAACATGTATCGTTAACGACTATGTAATTGGATTTTTGTGATTCATCTACTTAAAAGTTTCTACAGTATCTGCGTCATTTTCACCTTCACTGCATTTACCAGCACGTTAACAGTGAGCAAATATTTGTCGACGAAATTCGGTTTTCACAATAATATTAGACCTTTGCCCTAACTCAGTATTTAATGAAATCTTTATTTAATAACATCACAGAAAGTTGATAAACAACTCTGCGCTACCATTTACCCGTTGAATTTACAACAACACTAACCCATTTAGTCGATCCTGTTTGACTATATTTGGAATGAATATAGCATACGTGAAATACACTTGTCCGGGAGGCCGCCGAATCAAGTCTATTAATCTTCTGACTTCTGATGAAGATATTAAGGCGCAATACTCGACTTGGCAAATAAAAACGTTTGTTTGAACGCTCCTGAATCGAAAAAAATGGTGAAATTCATCATGTTTGGGCGCATTATGCACATTTAGAAATTGAAACGATGTCATACACACTGAGAGAAAAAAGTAAAATACCATAAATTTTGCACCAAATAAAAATTGTACCTATATTAAACATCGTTAATTGTAAGAATAAAAGATTTACGTGTACCCATAATACCGATCTTTTGTAGAAAGCCCCCTCGACTAATGCACAAATTTAAGATTCGGGAACACACCGTCGCCACGTTTAGAAATAACAACATTAGAAATTATCCAGTCAGGGTTTGAATTTTCAGTGCAAACGGTATTCTTTACAAATTAGCCTTGTTAAAATTACACGCGGATCCGCATACGAATTTATCCCTGATTATGAGGAAAATATAAAATAATCATTGCAAAGTACATTCAATCAATTTTGCGCGATTTCACCTCTGGAACATCAATTTCAATCCCGTATTATTCGGGTAGAATAATTATGGGTTGAAGAGTATGTGCTGATTTAACTACGGCAAGGTAAGAAGTGCGCACATAAATTATTTACACCTGCTCGCAGATAAAAATTAGAATAGGCTACTATAAAACATTTCGCTCCTGCAAAGAATTCGTGAATAGGTTATGGCACAAGCAAAAAAATCCACAAATATTTCAATGAATGCCATTCCTAGTATAGGATGCTTGTTATCTTAAAGCAATCCTAAACAAAGCTTCGTTAAAAGCATAAACTCTCGGTTAACTAGAGTTTAAACCAGACTTCCAAATTCCCTCTAACTCAGTTAGGGCAGAGCTTAACCCAGCAGACAACGAATATAATACAAAGTCACCAACCTTATAATTCTTGTATTGACGACACAGAGCAGAATATAGATACAAGATCAAAACCAGTGAGTTAATTTAAAGAATTATTGTCCGTTTATATACAATAGTCGAGACGCCTGTTATGCCTTTAGGGTTTAGCTTTTACGTGGATATCGTTTATAATAAATAAAGTAAGAATGCCGTAATTAAGTCTCGGCAATTCTTGTAAAACGATTTAGAAGGATGTCTGTAGCCAATTAAATAGTTAGCTATAAGTGGTCGAGTGATTAAAAGCTGGCTTGTACTAGTTTGTCTTGCTCAAGGGCAAGATAACGTGTTTTTAACTAACGGGTTATTCCTATGAAAGCCAATTGAGTATTTAACGTAAATTTCATTTTTTCTACCTTTTTCAAATTCAGAAGAAATCTTGTCCTAACTGGAATTACTTTTTTTTCTTACTGTTAAAAATATGGTCTAATTAACTAATAATAATCTCTACATAATAATTCGGCCCTAAAGAACGGAGTTCGGGGTTTCGGCATAACAAACGTGTCAAAAATTGTACAGATTTCTAAAAAAATAACAAAGAGAAAAACATAAAATTGTAAGTGAAATTGAAAATATATCGTAAAATTGAAATTATAACGTCATAAATTGAGTGAATTAAAGTTATCCCTGATGATGAAATATTAATTCAATTTTCAATAACGAAAAACATAATAAAATGATATCAATAAACCAATATATACTTTTTTTTTTTTTTTTCATATTTTTTTTTTTGAAATATTTATTCAAGTATATATTCACCAAACAAAATATGTGATACAATACAATGTAAATAAGAAAAACATGTCACCAAGAGAGGTGAAAATTTCAAGAAGGAAGATTGGGGTATAGATTGGGTAGGTTATTGGAAGTATGGGGGGCATGTATAGGTACATCAGTCTCAGTGTCTTCTCTATTTGTTCTATTTACGTTTGGCAAAGGTTCTACAGGATTAAGTTCCTGAGCGGGGTTTCTAAAATTTATCCAAAATTGTCTGGCTCTGTTATATACAGGCGTTGACGAGGTTTTGAGCATTGGTATCATACGCTTTATGACGAGTATGATCAATACAATACCCCAAAACATTCCTAAATGCCATGCTAGCATGTAGAAAGCCGACAAAATTGGATGACTGATAAATGATAAAGCGTTTACAAAGTTGTCTTCAACTTTGTTTTTAGTTGTAGTAAATTGGTTGTTTGTATTTGTTTCGGAGGACGACTTGTGATCCAATAATATCTTTTCTTTGATCAAGTTCAGGTGATTGATCGAAATTAGAATATTATTGAGATCTTCGAAGCCTGAGTGTCCTCCGTGGGGCATATCTTGGAATATCTTTTGATATTCCATTGGTTCAAAGGTTTCGTTGATTTTGGTTAAAGAAGGCCTTAGAGATTGTATGTGGGCATTTGTATGAGTTAGCGTGTAATTGATATACGTATAGTATCGCCCATTGATTGCAAAAGTAAACGTTCGTCCGGAGACGAAGTTTTCAAAAAAATGTATACCTGCGTAGACATTCGTATCTGTAAATATCTGCGCAACTATGGTAACATTATTTTTGTTGAGAAACGTTACAAGTGGCCTTGTTGCATAAGTATTATTATAGTATAGTGATCGTAATATAGTAACGTTTATTTGCTCACAGTGTATTTCTGTGAGGATATCCCCTACCGTTATAGCAGCATGTTTGCCTCCTAACACTTCATTTAAAATTTGACCTGGATATTGTTTACTTAGAGTTTTGTATATTCGGGTTAGAATACTTTCCAGTTGACACTCGAGGTAATTGATGTCTGATGATATATTAACAATTACCTCGGTTACCCTGTCAGTATTTTCCTGAATAAAGCCAGTCAGAGTGCTAGAAACAGAATCTACCACTACGGAACTATACCTTAGTTTTGGGTATTTAGAATTGATGAAACCAGCAGCTTTCAATGAAGAACATTTGTGAGTTTCAAATAAAAGTGCATTATTTGTACAAAATGTTTTTGTATTAAAACATCTTTGAACATAAGCGCCACATGAACCCCATTGGTGGATGCTGGCTCCCAATTCCGGAAAGTCTAATCGGTAAATGTCACCCGACGCATTATAATGCAATGCCATTTTCGAATTGAAATTTTTAAAAAAGGGGACAATCTATTAATGGGTAATTTTTCCAAATAATTGTTTGAGTACCTACAGTACAAGATCCGGAATTAATACTGCAAGTGGATAATCCTGAAAATGGGCCTAAAAGAATACCTTTTATATGGTCATAATAAATTGTTGTAAGAGCCAAATGTGCATTAAAAATTTTCCCAGTTGTGGTTGTTGGCCAATTATATTCGTATTTTACTTCATTATCAGTAGACCAAGTATTTTCTGAGGTAAGGGAAATTCTCTTAACGCTTTAACTTTAGATTCCATTGGTTTAATACCCTCCTTATCAACTAAAAAACCCGAAAAGATTAGCTTATCAACTCCAAATGAACTCTTTTCTCTGTTAATTACTAGGCCATATTCATTTAAAGTTTCAAATAATTTATGCAAATGTTGCTTATGCTCGTCTACAGTTTTACTATATACAAGAATGTCATCAACATATGCAAATACATTAGTTAATTGCCTAGTAACATCATCTAATAACCGCTGGAAGCTAGCCTGACTGTTGCTAAGGCCGAAGGGCATGACGTTCCATTTAACCTTGTTAAATCCCGTAGTAATCGCAGATTTTTCACGACTATCCGGGTGTAACGGAATTTGAAAATAAGCCGATTTTAAGTCAATTTTTGAAAAAACAGTACACCCCCTAACTTCATTGGTAAAAGATTGAATATGGGGTATAGGATAAGTATCCTTCTTTGTCTGTAGGTTGAGTAATCTAAAATCCCCGCATAGCCTATAATGGTCTGGGTTATTTATATCCCCATTTTTCTTAAGGACTACTGTGATGGGTGATGACCACTCTCCACTAGAGGGCGATACAACTCCCTGGTTTAACATTTTATTAATTTGACGGCATTAACACTATCAGTTAATGTATTAATTTTAGCTTCCATCAACTTATTTTGGGTCTGACTTTTAATATAACTTGAATCAGGTGAATTATTAGAATTTCTATAAATCTTATCGGCCTTCTCTGCTAACTCTTCTAAACTATCATCGTCCGACGCAACTAGAATTGACTGCATTGCCTTAGGCAATTTTTCCAAAAATAATTTTTTCAGTAAAGCACGAGCAAAAGGGTCCCCTCTATGATCTGGATTTATAAGTAATTTTAATTTTTTTAGCAAATCTGACGGCAATTGGTCACCTAAATCCCCTGAGTTAAGAAATGACGAAATCATTTGGTCTTCCGTCGGTGCATAATTTTTTACTAGGGCTTCTCTAAGTTCCGTATACGGATTTGTAGCGCTTATGTCTAGCAAATCCGCCCCTATTTTTTCAATTATTGAACTATCAAGAACAGCTAATACTTCATCAAACATTCTTGTTTCTGATGTAATATCAGCTCTAGAAAAAGCAGATTCAACACATCGAATCCATAAAAGGGGAGAGTGAACCCAAAATTGCGGGATTTTAATATTATCACGATCATTATATCTAAAATGTGATAACGGTTTCCTATTTGACGACGACGAAGGTAGAGGTTCGAATAGATCATAATTTTGACTAGACGACGGTTTAGGCGACTGCTTAGTTGACTGCATATTATTATTATCGGGCAACTGAGATTTAATAATTAAGGGTGGTTTTAATACGTCTTCTGGCTTAGGTAATTTACTACTCTTATCGGTTGGAGCTAAATTAGATTTGGCCTTTTTAAATAAATCAAATGGGAAGACACTAGCTCTCATGGGAGATACGGATTATAACAAAAGAAAGAGGAAAGAAAATTGCAGTACATACCAAAATTAATATGCAGTAAATTGAATGAAATACAGAATGTCCGTAGAAATATCCTTAGGCGATTTCGTCTTCTTCGCGTCAATAGTCGCTGATCCGGATCCTCGTGTCGATGTCGTAGAGTTGTTTTTTCGTCGATAATCGTAAAATGTCGTTAACTGTTGAAAGATAGGAGATCTATTAGATTAGCATGGACCCGTATATGCGACTTATAGGATATAATATTAACGTGAACTTATCTTGTGTTCCTCTATTTTTTGAGATTCCGTGCATTGATTTGTCGTCGTTGCTGGTTGTGTTCCTCCGTTGATCTGTTCCTCTCAAGAAGGTTGCATTCATCACGTCGGGGTCACCAAATTTATAGGATGCTTGTTATCTTAAAGCAATCCTAAACAAAGCTTCGTTAAAAGCATAAACTCTCGGTTAACTAGAGTTCAAACCAGACTTCCAAATTCCCTCTAACTCAGTTAGGGCAGAGCTTAACCCAGCAGACAACGAATATAATACAAAGTCACCAACCTTATAATTCTTGTATTGACGACACAGAGCAGAATATAGATACAAGATCAAAACCAGTGAGTTAATTTAAAGAATTATTGTCCGTTTATATACAATAGTCGAGACGCCTGTTATGCCTTTAGGGTTTAGCTTTTACGTGGATATCGTTTATAATAAATAAAGTAAGAATGCCGTAATTAAGTCTCGGCAATTCTTGTAAAACGATTTAGAAGGATGTCTGTAGCCAATTAAATAGTTAGCTATAAGTGGTCGAGTGATTAAAAGCTGGCTTGTACTAGTTTGTCTTGCTCAAGGGCAAGATAACGTGTTTTTAACTAACGGGTTATTCCTATGAAAGCCAATTGAGTATTTAACGTAAATTTCATTTTTTCTACCTTTTTCAAATTCAGAAGAAATCTTGTCCTAACTGGAATTACTTTTTTTTCTTACTGTTAAAAATATGGTCTAATTAACTAATAATAATCCCTACACTAGTGAAACTATTTTTGTGTTAGTCCGTCGAAACGACGGCAAACAACGTACCAGAAAATTAATTCGGAGTGTGAAAAAATGTTGAAATGTGCGAGGATTTGGCGTTTTAACCTTTTTAATATGTTAGGGTGTATTATGCGAATTATTTATTGCTAATATAAGAATATAAAATCGAAGATATATAGGATAAATATATTTTGAATTGAGAATTAACGTACAACCAAGGATACAACGGTGTATAACATAATTTCCAAAAATTAGAAATCTGGAATCGCCTCAAAGTACAATATTCAAAACGATACTACTACACTACGAAATAAATCGGTTGTTCGGATAGAATAGAATCTGTGAACAAACGATCCCGCGACAGAAGAAATTATCTTCAGATGTTACAGTCCCAACGGAATCTTAGCCAATAATAGAGTTAATAAACTGGGCCATGACGCGCTCAGTCGAGTGATCCAAACTGAGATCCAATTCGTTGAAGTCACGTACAAAAGCAATAACTGGATAAATTAGGCTACTTGTTAAAGTCGAGAGGAGGCTTCTAAACATGCTCCCGAGTTCCCTAGTATCCGTATTCCATTCCGTACCGCAAACTTATATAATTCTCAACATATTACCGCAGTTACCAAGCTTCATTTATCTACATCTCACGCAAATAAGACGGTTTCGTGGAGCTTTAAAAATATTCCAACGCTGCCAAACATGAACCAACTTTATAATAGCAGAAGCGTGGACTAATGGCCACCTGTGAAACATCAACCAATCACGTTAAATTCACTTCTGAACGACATAATACTAATTTTGTCGTCACAAACGTTTTTATAATACCGCCAGTGGTGTCGTCATATGAATCGACATAATATTCACTATGACGTATATGACTAAGCATTCCGGCACAAATAAACCCACAAACGGAACTTGCTGGAAGTCCTACGCTTCAGAATTCACCGGATGTTTTGGGCCTTTTGAAATGGGAAAATAACAGGAATCTTTATTGCCAGTGAATACAGGACTGCAGGAAGTATGTACAGTTTTGAAGGAAAATTTCGAACGACGCCAAATGTATCTTTAGGTGGTAAAAGCAAAGAGGTGAGTACCGTACGGTACGGTCTGACTGTACCGGTACGTATTAATAATAATAATAATCCAAGTCGGGTACCACCGGTATGGGATTAGTTATATTGTTTGTTTTCGGAAGCATGGACTTGGTGGTGGAGGAAGCCGTACGGCGTGTGGTTAGATAAGATAAGATTTTATTTCGATTCATTCGCAAAAACAAAATAAACATATATCTGTATATACACCAAAGATTAAGGCGAAGAATCTGGAAAGTGAACAAAACCTAATAAAATAGGTTTAAAGCGTATTAAACGCGTTCACTTACCAAAGAAGAAAGAAACGAGTCACAAACACAGACAAATAAACATGAATATTGACGGCAGTCATTACTCAGGCGTTTCACTTGGTAATCAGGTTGCGTGCAATCTTTTCAAAAACAAAAAAGTGAATTCAATATCCGCTGTGCGTGTGATGCGGCATGTAAACAAACAGTCCGAAAAATCCTAGTAGGAGGTGCGAATGCATGTTTCCGTTCCATGCTCAAACATATATCTAGTAAAATCTACTAAAACGTTAACACACCAATGTAAAAATCGATCGTAAAAAATCGTAAAAATCGAATTTTCAAATATCAGTTCGTGCAGTTTAACCGTAGTAGTATATATTTACGGTTTAACATTTGTATATCCGGTCTTCTCCATATTTGAGCAGAGCATAATTTCGTCCATCACAAAATCTTCCATTTTGCGCCCATGTTGCACATTTCCAGTCAATCATTAAAAAATCTGCTATTTCTGTTTATTGATGTCACTAAGTCTGGGATTCACTTCTCGAATGCATATCTTCGGCTCGAGGTAGCCACGTCCGCGCGCGACGGCGGTCGGTACTTGTTATACGGTATTTTAATGGATTCTAATTGATAATTAATTTTATTTGTGTCCTGTTCAGGGTGAACAGAAACCTTCGCCCACCTTCCCACAGAAACCGGCAATAATTCTGAATTCTACAGTCAGACAGTGCTCAGTCTGTCAGTGCGGCGGTGCGGCTCATTGTGCTAAGCGTTAGGAATACGCTCGTCATTGCACCTCTGATTATTCTGCACAGGTTCAAATCCCATGCAAGGATAGTTAGTTATGTGCGAGAGGAATGCGAATCTTCTCTGTATATAATGTATGGTTTTGGCAGATTGCTCTGCACACAATGCCCCGAAATTATTTATACTTACCGGTAATGATTCTACCGAATTTTTCACCCGTTTTCTCAGAGGTAATTTTATATCTATTTACTTTAACTTACCAAATGATGAATTTTTCAGGATAAATTGAACAAGGAAAGACTTCTGCAAAAAGCTCAAAAAGAAAGACAAAAACGAGAGGTTTGTTTATTTTATAATTCTCGTTTTATCATAGAAAAACGTCTATATCAGGTTTTCCCAAACTGGGATCTGCGATGACTGCACAGGGGGTCCGCAATGATATGAAGGAAGTCCCATCGATCTTTAATGATCGATTTTAATCCAAAAGCCATTGCATTTATTTGGATGAGCGTTGTGGACGAATATCCATTGCTGTCATCAAAAGCAATCAAAATTTTATTGCCTTTTGAACAACCTAAATGTGCGAGGCAGCATTTTCAGCTCGCTCCGATATGATGACAAAATACAGGTCAAGACTTGCTGTAGAGTTGGATCTGCGAGTTTGCTTGTCACTAACTGCTTTGAGAATCGATAGATTGTGAAGTGAAAGCAACCTAATGCATTACATTATTGTCGTTGTGTTGTAAATGAAACATTATCCTTCCTCGTTGGTTAGACACAGAAATTGATACGGCATAGGATGGGTGTCCGTCAAAACCAAGATTCACAAATAGCGGTTCGCAGCCCAAAAATTTTGAGAAACCCTGGTTTATATCTGAAACAATGCCAGCAGTTTTTGGATTTAAGTTTAGCCTGAAAAATCTGTATTCAGGATTAATACAGTAATAGCTTGACTTTTCGTCTCCACACAGACGTTGACTTGTAACGAAATAAGAACCTTTGGTTGGGTATTCACTCATGCTAGTCTGCGAAATATTTTGGAAGCCCCGCATTTAACAAGACTTAGAGCAAGCAGGTAAAGACAGAAATTATTTAGATTTTGCATGTATGGTACATCTGCTGGGCAATTCCATCACAATAATTGCTTAATTAATTAACGTGAATTACTTAATTCCACATTGAATGAAATATTTTTCATCTTTTCAGGAGATTCGTCGGAGATTACAAAGCGCCCTTGTTCTACAATCATGTGTTCGTTCATATCTCGTACGTCAAAGATTGAAAAATGATTTACGAATACAGTTTGATCAAGAGCGACATCGAGTGTCCAACAAGATAGGAAATATCAATGAGCTGGTGGCGACGTGTCGTTGGTTAGAATTTTTTTACGAACCAAGCATTGACCATGATAGATTGGTGAGGACTTGAAATTTATTTCACCAAATCTCGCATGGATTTATATCTATTCTTTGCTAAATGCTGTTTAGGATGTTGTAGTTAAAACATGATTCAAATCAAATTCTGCTCAGGTGCCATTTTTTGTGACTTCAATATAAGTTGTGAAGCGATAGTTTCAAGAATTGCTTGCTTTCTTTAACTGCGAGAAAAAATTGAACTGAACATAGTAATTTGGGATTAAATAGGCCAGAGAATGCACATTCTTCAATCTTTGTCTGATCATTCTGTCTTCGCATCTGAAAAGATCACTGATAAGAAAGTTACAAGCAAATACTGCTAGGGGCTGTATTTCTTTTAAAAAGGAGAGACTGGCTGTTTAGCACCAATATGCGTCAGTTTTATGATTTCAATTTGTAACAACTTTTTTAACAACTCAGTAGTTGCTGATAGCTTCTATTATTTTCTGTAATCTTGCATTGATTTTTCCTCAGTTTATCAAAGTACCAGTCATATTTTGTTCACAAACTTATTGAATTTTTTCCCAAACTTATCTTTATATATTTCCACCATCAGACCTGGCTGGGTCAACTTTTACTTCGCAACAAAGAAGACTGGCTGAAGAATGACGACTCAAGTTTGTTTCAAACAGCAGGAGTTTTAAAGCTCTATTGCAGGTGGGAGTCCGGTGATAGGCAGATTTTGCAAGGATTGAAATATTTTTTACAAAGGGCTATAATGAGAACCCAATACTTTTCCCATTCGCTCTTATAGTGTGAAATTTTATGGTGGCGGACATTGTTCCGCTCTAGATGACCATATATCAAGCTCTTAGTGATGTGGCGGGCATGAGACATTTACATACTTAGAAACTATCTATACAACACTCACTACATAATGAAATACAAAATCTGGACATTTCTACAGATGCTTGTCTTCCATTGATTCCACAACTACAATCGCCATCCCGATGAGAGTCTTAGAAAAATTCACTTCGAATGATTTAGTGGGGTCAAGTCGAAAGCTGGAGAATCGTGAAACAGAGATATGTTTGCTGAAGTTATGGAACGCTCTTGTTAGAAACGGTAAGTATTGTATTTGTGTGCAATTTTTTATATTTTATTCTCAACAAGTCTTTAAACCAACAGTCACCAACATGCAGGGAGCTAGCCTGCTATTTTCCCAGGAGCCAAAATCTATTTGGATAGGCACGCTTTCTCTCGTTATTTGAATGAGAGTTGTTGGACCTTTCGACAAAGATTTTTATCAATGCAGTAACTGCTTTTCTATTGCATACTATGTTTATGTATTGGCTTTGTGTTTGTTAAAAATTACGAAACTCACCATCTATAAGCCAGACTTTTTGCAAGTAGCAAACAGGTTTTTCATGATTAGGCTTCGGGATATTCTTGAAATTACATATTTTCAAAATAATACTTCATATCAAACACATTTATCTTTTTTAGGATATTTTTTCTGTATTCAACATTTGTTGAC